TTCTCAAAATGCTATAAACATGTTATTTGTACAATGAAATGTATTGTAATATTGGCTTTAAGTATATTATGAACTGCTTCAAAAGAAGGTTACAGTAATCAAACCTCTACAAAAAATAAAGTTTGTGGTGGTCGAGGCGATGCAAAAAAAACCGATTTTTTCATGAAAACAGCCACTCCACGTTTTGATTTTGGAAATGATAAGATAATTTAGGTGTATCAAAAAAGCAGTGGATGAGTTTGATCTTCTCTCCATTATCCATAGCAAGATTAATCAACAAAAGCGATATCTAGGAAAAGCCTCAGTAGAGAAGAAAGTTAAGCGAAACGTCATGCAACCAGTTGAAGGTTTGTTTTTTTTCGTTAACATTAAATTTCTCTACAATTTCTCTACAAAGTCAACAATTACAACTAAACTACGTGGCAACGAGGATTAATTTATCGAAGAGACAGCAGACTGTATTGGTATTGAGGTAACGAAACAGTTGTTTAAGAAAAAGCTTGGTTTTTTTCAAAAAAATGGCCTTCTCAAGGACGACAACACTGAAACGGCCATCGTTTGCGACTTCACGGTGGCATCTGACGGCCGCAGCAGCCTGCTGGTTATCTGCTATTTTGGCATGAAAGTAGACGAAAGGAACAGCGGAGAAAACAGCAAAATAGCGAAAAGGGTAGCAGCAAGGGAAAAGAAGACAAGAAAACAGCCACAGCAGAGAGAAGCGTAGTGAAGATTTTATGCAGATTTGAAGCACTAACCTTCTCCTGAAACTCCACGCAACATATCGCTATACCTGAAGATATAAGTTTGCAATTTTTCTCATTGCTACACGACTTCTATTTTCTCAGCTTCGCCGCAATCTTCGCGGGACAGATCTACAGGCCTTTCCATTCCCTTTTTGTTGTTGAAAAATCCGCCAAAGTAAGATGCCTTTCTGCTGATAATGATAATATTAATATTAATAGCAATAGTAATAAGAATAAGAATAACAATAGCAATAAGAATAATATTAACAATAACAATAACAATAACAATGACAACAACAACAATAACAGTGACAACAACAAAAAGAACAAAAATAACAATAACAACAATAACAAGAACAATAACAATGGCAATGACAATAATAACGAAAATTACAACAATAACAGTGAAAACAACAACAATAACAATGACAACAACAACAATAACGTTAAAACGACAACAATAACAATAACAATAACAATGATAACAACAACAATAACAGTGACAACAACAAAAAGAACAACAATAGTAATAACAACAATAACAAGAACAATAACAATGACAATGACAATAATAACGAAAACAACAACAATAACAACAACAATAACAACAACAACAACAACAACAACAATAACAGTGAAAACAACAACAATAACAATGAAAACAACAACAGTAACAATAACAACAGTAAGAATAACAATAACAATAACAACAACAGTAGCAATAACAATAGTAATAACAATAACAATAACAATAACGATGACAATGACAATGACAATAATTATAACAATAACAATAACAATGACAATAATTATAACAATAAGAATAACAATGACAATAATAATAACAGCAGTAGTAATAACAGTAATAATAACAACAGTAGTAATAAGGGTTATAATAATAACAGTAGTAATAAAAACAATAGTAATAACAGTAATGATAACAACAGTAGTAATAACAGTAGTAATGACAACAATAGTAATAACAGTAATGATAACAATATTAATAACTACAATAATAATAATGATAATATTAACAATAAACAAGAATTGTTGCAACTACCAACAAGAATTTTACTCGGGAAGAAATTTTCTGCGGCGTTGTTTGTTCAATTTTATGTAGAGGAATTTCCTTGTCTTTACGTCTTTGTAAGGAGTAGTTAGCCGTTTGCTGTCTTACAGACTGTAACCCTTGAGATGGCGGAAGTACTATATCTTGTCAATGCCTCGCGCTTGCTTAGGTGATGCTATCGAGGTTGAAGACCTTTGCTGACCGTTTCGACGTAGGTAACTCCGGTATTAATCGACAGTCTCTACTTGCACAATCTGCTTTATATAAGCAGTGCTTGATCTAATTTGAAGTTGAGGTTTAATTACCTTTTCGCAGCTACTAAGTAATTCCCTGACTTATTTATTGACACACAGTTATTACGGTACCTGAAAAAAGCAATTACGGTACTCGACAAGCAAACACTCGAGAAGGTTTTAGAGGAACATTATAATAAGTTAAGTAAATTTAAACTCGATGCAAAGCTACAGCTGCCATTGGGCACGTCTTATAGTATGTAAGCAGCATAAACGAATCCTACGATTGAAGAAGAATATTCACCGTATTTGGGCTTCCAATAAGGCAATCATTAGACAATGATTTCAAATTTACAATTTCAACAGGTTAAGGTTGCTTCCTTTTTGGTCTCAGGCGGCATTACCTTCTTCCCCCCCCC